GATAGCCAGTGCTGCCTTCTTTTCGGGCTTGATTCTCCCAGTAAGTTAACCACTTCCTCTGCGATTTGTTTATTTTGGAATTTCTGAATTTTCAATTTGTTCACAAGTAGGAATTAATGAAGTGCAAATTTTCCTGTGCGAGAATTACAGATTGTACTGAAAGAATTTCTGCACTGGAGTGCGATTAGTTCAAAAATTAGGCCAATTAATAGCCAATCACTGGCCAATGCCAGAAGTGTATTTCCAGCTATTGCGAACTCGAAATACACTTCTTACACTGGCCAATAACTGGCTATTAATTGGTCTAATTTTGACTCCATCCGTGCAGTTTCCTGTTAACTTCTGTGCTCAATTTAACTGGCACAATTTAACAATTCTCAGCTAAATCTACATTCTTCAGGGGAAATTTTTTTTAACGCCCTTTCAGATTTCTGCTAAATTTGACGCATCCAACCTTGTGCAGAATCGTACTGCCAATCAAGCTATCCTTACTCTAGATGCAAAAGCGGCTCCCGATGCTTGATGACTCACATTACGTACCTTACAAAAAGTCAGAATCACGATTAGCACAGCATAAAATTTTCGAGATTCATGACGGAATAACTTAGACCTAACGGGGTATTTTTTCAAAAAAATGCCCCCCATAATTCTGTTATGTAACAACAATTATTCTGGAACAAGGCCACCAATAACATTTTTTTCCACGACTAAGAGTAAACTAAAGTTGGATCTTAGGAAAAGTGAAGTTGACCCGGATGTTGCCACTGAGTATGTGCAGGTCGTTGATCAGCTTCTGATGCTCATACTCGAGCTCGTCCAGCGTAACCAGCTGATGCCCGTTGTGCCTGTTGACACAACACTCCAGACACGCCAAGCGCTGAAAGTTTCTCCTTCGTAGAAGACGGAATCTCAAATTAGCCGATTATAATTGAACTTAAAAGGAATCCAACTCCATTGACAAATTTTGCCGGTTTTATTTTACAGCATAGTGAAAAATGAATAAGGTGGCAACGGTTTGCTTCACGACTGTGCTCTGAACGGTGGTCAGCTGCCGTTGGGATGCACGCAAAGAGTACAACTCGAGAATTAAGGAAGCTACGGACTCGAGAATCTGTTGGGTGGAAAGCCTACGATTCACAATGAAGTACAGCCAGTGTCTTGTGTACCTTGCTAGCAATCGGTGGACGTTGAGTGTTAGAGGGTGGTACTCGCGAGACAGTAAACGACCATTCGGACAAGCTTTGAAGAGGTCGTTGCATAACTTTTAGCAGGCCGTCTTTATTATTTGATGGTATGCAGTGCAGGATCGAAGCATCGCCGCGCCCGGCATCTCGAAGCATCTCAAAAATGTAGCTATCATGGGACATCCACAGTCGTTAGTAATTTACAAATTTACATTACTTACGAGGCAATCATCACCGTCTTTTTCGGACCCAAAACACTGCGTACAAAATCGTGCTTCTTTTTGGCACTTTTTTTCGTTCAGTTTTTGCGAACAATTAGCACATCGCGTTGATTTAAGCCGATTTGAACCAGAATGGCGTCCCACGCAGCGCCGACGCCAGGAGCTTCGCCGGCGACAGCTGGAATTGCTGCTGACGTCGGGGACGTGTATCACTGTGATGTTAGCGTTACCAGCATTCTCACGTTGCGGTAGCACTGTCTGCAGCATCTCTGGAAACATAAAAGTAAGCGATTGTTGAAATTTTCTGACTTAAACAATATGCGCTCTTGCAGCTTTTGCGCTCTGTTTGCTTGAATTTGGCGTTTTTAAATGTTTTCGTTTTAAATTAAGTGTTTCTGGTTCCATCTGTTTGTTGCATTATGCAACACTGAACACTTGAGGATCAATTCTGCCGTCTTTTTGATTGAATTTTGAGCCTTTTTAGCTGAACTTCACACTCGTTTTTTGACAAAATTTTGTGTTTTTTTGAGTTAATTTTGTCTCCCACTGAATGTGGTCTAAACTTCGCTTGTTCTGCATGCGTGGTTAGTGTTCCGCGTTGTTTGTCTCCATATATAATTTTAACAAATAATGCTGAGAGAGGAGTTGAATGTAACCTACTGCATAAGTCGTAATTGGTAGGTGCAGCGAATGCGACGGAGGTGTTGAATTCGGTACGACATGTGGGGCAGTTCACTGAATCCAACAGGTAGTACTGCAATACAGATTCGTAGCATTACGGTATTTTCTTTACGGATTACTTTCTGCTTTACATTTCTTACTTTTAAAAATTTTTGATTTTTTCGGTATCGTGTAATGACCTGTTGAGCCTGCGTATCCGGTATTTATTTGTAGTATCAGACAGTTAGCTCACATTAGCCAA